TAGACTCAGTTGACAAGCAAACAGACCGTATCGCACCTATCAAGAATTTCAATGCACATTCTTACATTGTATGTATGTACACATTTTAGGGTACACTTGAGTAGTACTAGTGTGCATATGTACGTACATTTGTGTTTAAAATTAAGTACGTCTGCATGCTTATCTATTAACGGTTGGCAATCATGTATGTATTTCCATTCGACCAAACGACATGACTAACAACGACCTTTCCAACTGATTGCCGTTCTATTGCTCCGTTATGCAGTTGCCGCATTTGACTGTGGGGAATAATGCAAAACTACTTAGTTTAACTTTGCTTCTTACCGACATTGTTCAAAGACAAAGGTGGGTACAAGGAAAAGGAATAAGCATAAAATGCAACGAATAATATTTTAACAGTTTGTGCCAGCTGGATTTTGTGTGCAACAGGCGTTAAATTTTCATATAAATATACATACTTATTCGTAGGCGTTTTTCGACATACTATACTATGCCTGCATGTGTTATATGTACCGGTGTATGTGTCTTTCTAGTCAACGCTATTACTCAAGCGGCATGCTGAGTGTCTACCTATCCATATGGCATAGTGGCTTCCTGCAGTTAACAACTCATGCAGATATTGCCATGCTTGTATATACATATACATATGTATAGTTTATGCACAATATATATGTATGTATATACTACAAAAGTAAAAAAAACTTACTTCTAAAAGTCATCATGACTCATTTAACAGCGGAAATACGAAATAAAATCCCTTTTTTTTGATATATTTCCTTATTTGTTTGAATAACTAAAAACGTGCAACGTGTAAAGTGAATGAAATAATAAAATAATCATTCCGCTGCTCAGTCAACTCGCTACGAAGCCGAAAAGTTTGTTTCAAGCATAAAAACATAAGCTTTAATGATTATGAGAAGTACTGTTGAGTACAAATCAAGCAATCTGCGAACCTCTGTATCATAAAATTATTAAAAAATTCTTATTAGAATAACAATTTGCGGTCCTAAATGGAGATAAATGAGTTTTTTTTTAATTTTTTTTTTTTCAAACGAATTTTAACGTAATATATACAAATCCCCATGCGACCAAAATCCAAAAATTATAGAAAATTAATTTAAATAAAAAATTAAGTTAAATTTTTCTAATTGCGGTCGCCCCTCGGCAGGGAATGTCAACCCCTCCGAGAGTATTTCTAACATGAAATAAAGCTCCTCATAAAAATCATCAGCCGTTCGGAGGCGGCTTAGTATAAAGTGTAAGTCTCTCCAATTGTTGAAAAAAGAATCAAGACGCTAAACCGCATATTGGAGGAGAAAGTCGGCAGAAAATCGCTTCAGCGGTTACAAAATATATGCATATACTGATGGTTTTCCAATAGGGATGATATGAGTTTATGTGTTGTTTTGACCATTTTTGTTTCCAAGAAACAGAACAACGTTAATAAATAACAACAATTATTTGAAAGTGATAACGATTTTTTTTAAGAAAATGACGAGTCTGTTGCGGAAAAAATCTACAAATTATTCTTGAACTACCATTAAATTCACCTAAATTGGCAGTTTGGTTTGGTTTTTGGTCTGGTGGAATCATCGGTGAGTACTTCTTTCGAAATGAAGCTGGTAGCACCGTTACTGTCAATGGGGAGGTGGTATAGATCGATGATAACTAACTTTTTAACTCTTAATTTAAAGAAGCTGATCTTAACAACCCCCGGTTCCAACAAGACGAGTCACACAGCACGTGCAACAATCAAATTATTGCGTGAAAGATTTGAAGATTCGATTATTTTAAGAAATTGTGACATTGAGGGGCCTTCAAGAAGTTGTGCCTTAACACCATTAGACTAGTTCTTGTTAGGTTATTTGAAGTCATTAGTCTTTAGCAATAAACCAGATCTTCTTCAAGCTTTAAAAGTCAACATTGAACGTGCTATTCATGGCATACGACTTGATTTCGTAGAAAGAGTGCTCAAAAATTGTGTTCATCAAATTCGTTCTTCCAGAAAAAGTCATGGAGGTAGCACACATGTGACATAAGAAGCAGCGCTAACAGCTAGCCGTCAAAAAATCTCAGACAACTGGTCTCTCGTATTAGAGCTCGGGCTAAATGTAAAAAGCGACCGAAAAAGGAAGCATCCGCTAAGTATATGTCATCTACTCCTTTCTGATCTGAGAAGGATGGGCAGAACGCAAGGCTATCAGTAATTTATTTCTATACTGATGACTCTAAATGGGGCACTGGCTCAGAAGCGGCGTTCTTCTGTAGTGTACTCAATAAAGCAAGAAATGGCTGTCCTCAAAGCAGAGATTTTGGGTATTGCTGTAGGTAGCAAATGAGCAACCGCAAAGTTTTAATGTGCGTGAACGTGCAAAGAGGCAATTAATATACTTTCTTGGCAAAATAGAGCGAACATACAGAAGGTCCGGTTACACGGATATAAATGATAACGAAAAATCGGACGAGCTTGCTCATATTGGCGTCACTTGCTGCAAGGCTGTAACCATCACTTGCTCCATACCTTCCAGCGCTTTCAAATGCTATCTAAAGTAGTTGATCTTTGAAGAGCACTTAAAGCCCTGATGCACTTCCAATATAGGACGCACCACTATGCTACCTATCCCACAGTGTCTTAGAGCTACAGACAGGCCAAACTTTTACTTGCATTATGCAAAAGAACTAAGAAAAATTGTAGATGAGCTCACTTCTTAGGTATCTTCTGAAAATCGGGTAAGATAGAATCGTTAGTGCAGACCACATAAGAGGATGAGGATAAGTCAATTGAGACATCAACCTTATACAGACAAAAATTGGCGGCTTATAAAATCAAGCGAACTTTCTACCAACTGACTAACAAACTTTTCTTTTATTTTTTTTTGTTGCTTTTTTTTTTTACTTAGCCACTTAATATTCAAGGAAATTATTATTTTCCTATTGAATTTATACAACAGCGTTAAAATACCAGCTACATGTAGAAATGATAGATCATAAACCAGTTGAGCAAAAAAGTAAATTAGTAGAACTCTAGTCCGTAACTAGTATTTTTTGCGCAATGAACGTTGGGCCTAAAATTGAAATTTTAAAATGTATTTCAATTGTTTTTGTGAAATAATTTTAACTTTTTTTTATTTATGCTACAGAAAAAAATGTTAGAAGGAGAAGGAGAAGAAAATATAAATAGAAATGTTCATAATAAACAATAACTATCTGCATTAAGACGGTCGCCCCAGCCGAATGGTAGCAGCACCTTCAGACACTGCGCCTGAACCTACTCCTCGCCATAAAAATCCATTCGCAACTAGCTTGCGATAAATTCAGCTACATAACCCGAACAAATGTCACAAGTGTGCTAATTATAAAAATACAATAGTTCAACGTAACAGTTTTGTGTCATTAACAGTATAACCATAATATTAACAAACCACCATATATTACTTGTATATATGTGTAAGTACATATGTACTCGTATGTATAACATTTGGATTATATTGCTTTTTTCACACTACGCTGCTAATGAGCTTGTGACTAAAATAGAATCAATGGTTAATTCAGCCAGAAGAGTGTAGCGTTTTTTACGCAAGAAGTTTTTTTAAAAAGGACAACAAAGAATTATAATTCAAAGCAAAGAAAAAAATCAAAATAATTTTCTTTTTCATCATTATAATGTACATACGAAGGAGGGATAAAAGGTGGAAGTAAAAAACAAAATTATTTTACCATTTTTAAATTTATTCAACTGCAAGAGCCAGATATATATTTTTCAGATCACAACTTTTCTTCAATTGTCTCCGTATTTTCTCTTTAATGGCTTCTTTCGGTCGATCTAATATTGAAGCAAAGTATTATTTAGTTATAAAATAAATATTGCTTCTATCAGTTTTCGCAGTTTCCCAGTTGGCTGAGACATCTTAGACTTCTTAAGACGTGCTGTGACCTTTTTATGCCACTTTACGGAGTCTTGTCTTGGCAATTTTCCTATGCAGTAACAATTAGACTCAATACATCATCCTACTTTTCATACAGACGTCCAAAAAAGCATATAAACACTAATATTTTTGCGGAGGTGGCCTTAGTCCTGCCAAGATGATCTGGTTTTTTAGTTGTTTTCTGCGAGTTGTTTATTTGAGCATTGGCTGGGACTATTTTTTTTTTTTTCATTTTTGGACAAGATCAGGCGCAATCACCTCCTCGATGCTGCTGCCCATTCTTAGGTCATCTTCAAGGGATTTCCTTTCTTGTTTAAATAAACTGTGCCACTTGTATATTGTGGTTTCTCCCGAACAAGTGTCGCAGTAAACCAATGACATCTCATTCACTATAGTTGCATCTGATTTATAATGTCACTCCCGGTTATAATGTCATTCCAGGTTATGCTGCTTGGTTGAAAGATAGCTTAAAGGCTAATTGTCTAATAACAATGAAACTTCGTATTTATAGTATAGTAAAGAGTCACTGTACATGATACTATCATAATGAGCCTTATCACCCCCCTACAACCCTCTCATTCTACGAAAAGTAATTATGCTGTCGCTGTAGTGAAATCAGTTTATGGGTACCACTCTTTGTTGTAATCATAATAAAAAATAAATCTAGAGATTTCGTTGAGTATTATCCAGAACTTTTTTTTTTTTACAATTTTTGTACTTTTCAGAGAAAAGATCTTAAAAAAATAGTCAGTTGATATTAGGAAAAAAACTTTTCATAATAAATTTAACTCTGTCTCAGCGCAGTGCAAGTAATGATATATTCTCTCAGTTTCCAATAACTGTATGTTTTTCAAATATACTTTAGATTGAAACTTTTGATTTAAATTTAAATATTTATCCTTCAACTCCTACGAAATAAAACATCCTGTTTCCTTTTGGCTTGCAATTGAAAATAGTTAAATTTCAAAACTTTTTGTACTATATTAAAATTTTCCAAATTTATTTTTTACAGCAACAATTACAACCCGTTGTTAACCGAGTTACTAATATGCCTTTTCTTTTTGTCATTTGCAGTCGCGGTCTCACACCACCACATCGAGTAAAATCCATTTCTATGGCAACATTCACACAAGACGATGTTGACTTCCTGAAAAACCACGGAAACGATGAATGCGCCAAAACCTGGCTCGGTCTGTGGGATCCAAAACGAGTTGTGCATCAAGATCAACGTGAACTGATGATTGACAAATATGAGCGCAAACGTTATTACCTGGAGCCAGCTAGTCCGCTCAAATCTCTGACGAATGCAGTCTCACTCAAAAGTGGTTCAGTGGCGGCGACGGCAGCAGGTATAGGTGGCGTGGAATTGGCGACTACATCTGGCACGAGGTCGAGCAACACACCAACTTCAAATGGCAACAACACTTACAAGAGTAACGGTGATGGCCAAATTGATTTGGTGCATGTACCCAATGGATTTGGTCAAAATGGTCACAATGCCAAACAACAACAATTCCGTCATCAAAACGCTGCGAATGCTGAGCGAAGCTTCAAACTAACACCGCCCAGTACACAGCGTACGACAATGAATGGCTTACATAAGGCCGTCACTGGGGCAACAGCATCGGCACCAAGTAGCTCAGGAAAATCAACGTCCGTAATAAATCGCCCACATCAGCAACAAAACGGCTATAGCCATTTGCAAGATGCGTTTATGCAAAAATGCAATAATATGAATAACAACAACAACAACAACAATAACAACAGTCATGAGCTCAGTGTCTTGCATATAAGAAATAGCCGCATGTCGGACAGTAGCAGCTCGACGAGTGTGAACGGGTTTGGTGCGGACGCCGATTTTGTTGCAGATTTTGGTTCTGCGAATATTTTCGATGCGACAACAACATCGAACCGTAGCAATATAAGTTCGCCTCCAATATTGAATGGCAACAGCAATGCGATATCCAGTAATGGTTATGCTAGAATACAGCCATTGAAGAAGCAACATCAACAGCAACAACAGCAACAACAATATCAACTGTTAAACGGTCATGGACAATCGAATGGCAATGGCTCGCATAGCGAGGTGATCGCCAATGGCTCTACGGAGAATTTTGCCGATTTCGAGCATGCACCCATATTCAATGCGGCTGGTAAGTGGAAACATAGTATGTAAATGTATAATTAATACTTAAGTACAGCTCACACATTGAATTATACGTTTTAGAGGGTTTAAAATTACACAAAAACGCCATAATTTGCATGAATACAGATAGTATTTTATATTAAAAATTTGTACCAAAATGAATGAGTCCTGTTTAGTTATTACCACATCTCAGCGTTTGAAATCTAAAAGAACTTGACTCTCTTAAGGGTAATTTTCTCTTAATAATGAAAACCAATCCAATCCAATTTAATTTAGTATTACATCAGTTGAATGGCTAAGGCACAAACGATCGTGCATCTTTAAGGGGCAGCCTGAAAGATATCTAAAGCATAAATTGTTCAGAATTAAAGCTCCAGAAATCGAGCTGGAAAGTAGTACGTTCGACGTCTGTTTTATGTCACTCAAATATTAAATGATCTTGAGCCCATCTTTCATACGTTTTTAAAGTACGATTATCAAGTAATTGTCTGAAGGATTTTTTAAAATGACTATTTAAATAAATCAATTTGCAATTTTTCTTTTTAAGTTCATCCAAAAATTTATGTTTCAATAAAAAGTTCGTTCAGCTTTCATATAAGAGATGGCGTTATTGTCCATAGTACTAGTGTTACGTGTCACATCATGTCATACTATTCTGCGCTGAAAACGTGTTTATTCGCGATAAAAGTTTGTTATTGAAATTTTTTCGATTGATTGACTCAGTACGTTGTGAGCGCTCGTCAAAGATGGACACCAGCAAAGAGAAAATATGCACCACGCGTCGGGAAGCCTGTCGTCGAAAATTGCGATAAAATCATGGAAATAGTGGGAATATACCGTCACGTGAGCACTTATTTAATTGATGAGGAACTAAAGATAAGCCAGAAAATCGTTTGGAGCTCTGTGTTTGGTGCGATTGGCAAGGAATCATCTACTAAGAGCTCCCATATGGCCAAACACTCATTTCGGCCCTCTACTGCCAACAAATGGACCACTTGAAGGCAGCACTCATCCAGAAGAAGCCATCTTTGATCAATAGCGGCCAAATTGTGTTCCATCAGGACAACGCCAGGCTACATACGTCTTTGGTGACGAGTCAGAAGATCCAGGAACTCGGATGGGATGTCCTAATGCACCCACCTTATAATCCGGACCTAGCCCCAAGTGATTACCATCTTTTCCTGTCCATGGCGAGCGCGCTTAATGGTGAGAAGTTGGCCACAAGAGAGGCCTGTGAAAATTGGATCTCCGAGTTTTTCGCCAATAGAGACGCAGCCTTCTACGAGAGTGGTATAATGAAGTTGGCATCTCGTTCGTAACAAGACTACGAACAAAACCGAACGAACTTCTTACTTGATCAATATGTATAATCAAAACTTAAAAAAATGTGTTCAACAAAGTGATCACAGTTTGAGTTCACACGTGACAAGTGTGATTCTGTATATTCGAATTCCGAAACGCAGTGATACAAGCAAAGGGCAATTAAAAACTTAGAATACCGTTGATAAATCTGTGTTGGTTAACTTGGGTTTTAGGTTCAGAAAAAAATAAGGTACACAAAACCCGCAGAACTGATCGCGAACGTAAAAAATGAAAATTTCGGTAATATCAAAAAAGCAGACTAACATTAGTTTGGGTCGAACCGGACATTAGATACACATTAGATACGGATATAGAATCAAAGCTATTAAAAAAGTTTGAGCAATTTTTTTAAATTCTACTTCAGGGTGTTAATCAAAAACCTTTTTTTTTACACTTCGATGATTCTGTTATCAGTTTTACTGTCAAGGCGGGCACATCTTTTACCCAAAAGGTCACCAAAAATAACGTCACAATGTCGGAGTTATAAATATTTTCTTTTGAAAAATTACCATAACATGGGAGGTGGCCTTTGCAATAGTATCAGAACCTGCGACCCAAATTGTGGGTCGTTTTCGTACGCACGGATATACCGACCGTACCATGCTTATCTGTCCGTCTACTTGTACGCAAACTAGTATCTAAGTTTTTAAGGTTTTCAACCAAACTTGGCTAACAAATGTATTTTTATTTTCTATTAGATATTAGAATTAATATTTAACCCAAAAATGAATTGCTATTGTCATGAATAATATGAAATACCTCGACAGCTCTTTCTTATTGTTTTTTCTGTGTGTCTAAACACTTCTCATTTTTTTATTCGAACTTTAACTCCATTTAAATGAGTGTGTCGTATGCATAGTGCTGAGTTAGGGTACGTTGGTTTTGTCATTTAATTATAGTTTTTTATTTATTATTTTTTATTGTGTTCAATAAACTCAGAGACTTATTCAAAAACAAAATTATGAGCTAGAACTGGTAATCCTTTAACGAAACACGCAAAGTGCAAAGTACTTTGTTAGTTGCTGCTACTGGTTTTTTGGGCTCGAAATTAATATAAACAGGTCTGATACTTTCTTTAACCATAGACGGTTAGTAGAAGTCTTTTTTGAAATCTTACTCATGCCCGCAGTAGATGCATATGTACATACGTTGCAGATATCCAGAAAGTAGGTGTGTTGAATTTCTTTAGGTTTCAAACAATTTTGTCTACATAATGGAAGCTATTTCTAGACAAAACCGTCATTCCTCCCTATGTAGGTGGTGTAGCGAAATATGAAATTTTTTGATGCCTTCTTCGAAATATATCCCGCCAACCCCTTTGTTGCCGATATCCGAGGCTCTTTGTGATTGTTTTTTGTAGTGAGGACATGGAAATTTCCGGAACATCGCATAAATATAACCCCTGCCAATCTGCGATGATCACAGAGCGCATTTTGGAGTTTTTGAAATTGTGTCAATCATAATTGAAGGTCTTCCGTTCCTCTGTTCATCGTGCATAGACGTACAACAGTTTTTAAACACACTTCCAAATGATTCATAGGTTTTATCACCATATGCAGTTTTTACCTCTTTATAAATCTTGAACGCGTAGGAGCTTCTTTCCAAACGAGATAACAGATGACACTGCGTATTTCGCAACTTGGCGGGAGACATATTGCCGCGTCGATATTTCTCAACGCACCGCACTATTTCGTTGCCAACATGTCGAAAATAAAATCCCTCCGGCCGGCCGTGAGTTACTTTCAGGATATGTCTCGTATGTGCAACAGGGCAGTACACAATACACAAATAAACATCTGTACCAAGTAACATTTTCAAAACATCAGTATTTTTGCTTGTCCAAAACGCTTTATAATGTCTGAGTTTTACTTTTCTTTAACGCGTTTTTGGTTGTTTCTCGTACAGTTGACTATAAATTCGTAAGAAAAACTGTGATTAAACGTTGTGCTGGTGGTCAACAAACGGATGGTCAGCACAATTCTCGCACATCATCGAGGACTACAGAAGGCAGCGATGTTGAAGCGCCACCAGCGCCGCAGACTGAATCAGCTGCAGAATTTCTTTTGGACAAAAACTTATATGCTGACATCAGACAAGCCACAACACATTCTGAAATATCAGAACCAACTGCAAATAGCATTGCTCCATCAGGTTTGACGAATTCCAAAGATATTAACGCGCCTATTCTAAGTCCACCTAAAAGTGCGCAGACTTCTCATATTCAAACACGGGGGATGACGCTCCAAAATACAGTCACAGAGCTGACTTTGCAGTTGGATGCAGCTAATGCTGCTCTGTGTTCGATGCAAGCCAGTTGTTGCGACAGTTGTCCATCAGCACTTTGCCCTCCATTAGCTGCTAACCTTAATGAAGCTCAATGTCGAATGCCTAGTCAAGCTCAAGTTGGTTTCTGCAATGGCAATATGCCACCAATGGATTGGTGTCAATATGCCAATAGCGCGCCTAGGTGGCCGCCAAATAATGCAAGTGGAGCTGGAGTATCGATTGCCACAGTCGCGTCACAATCCGCCAATGTAATCTTGTCACCGAATCAAATGCAGCCGCAGCAACCATGCCCGCCAATGTATTGTCCACAACCAAACTCTTATGACCAGGCAGCCTTTGCAGCTCCTTGCCGGCCCAATCCACCTTGTCCGCCGCTTTTTGCTTGCCCACCACCCGTCGAACAACAACCCGATGTCACCGTTGCTGGCCTTAGCTATGGCGCCTTACCACAGCAGACTCTCATAAACACAGCACAGAATCGAACACAAAATGGAAGTGATGCAAATGCTGAAGCATGCATGGAATCAACGCCATCGTACAGTACGTTATATAATCGATCTTACTGTCAGCCACCTGTTGCTGCATATACAAATCCTTTTATACAACCAACACAAATGCAAATGCAACCGGCGCCAATGCCAGTTCCCCCAGAATGTTACAATCCGTTTCATCCATATTGCGTTTCAGGCAATTGCTCACAGGGTTGTATGCCAAGTAATACAATACCAGTGGGGGATCCGATAATAGATCCATCCTGTAATGTGCACTCAGCTTATGATAATTGTTTATGCAAAAATTGGTGTAAGTTTTTGGTTTTTACTTTGGCGTTAAATTTAATTTACGCATTAATTTATCGTTTCTTGCTTTTGTTCTTATTTTGGTTTTGCCATTTTTGTTTCATTTAATTCGTTTTTTTTTTTAGTTTTTGTTATTGCCGTTTATTTTCTCACTTGCTTATGGCTTTTTTTAATGTTTGCATCGCAATATTTGTTATTAGTATTTTATTATTGACAATGATGTAAGCTCGATATTATGGATGCATTGTTTTTGCTGTGTACGCCATTCTATGATTGATAAAATCGATTTACTTTAGTTAGAAATACCTGGTTCTAGCCAGTGATGGCAGTGAAGCCGTTAGCAAACATACGTGTATGTATGTATGACATATTACACCGCAAAGCTCTATAAGCCATTAAAACATTTTGTAATCGCTGAAGCGATTCTCGGTCGAGCACCTTCTCTAATTTGTGGTATGTGCCTTGTTGATTTTCCAATAAATTAGGATTAGCGCAAGACTTGGTAGAGTTCGGGATTACTCTGATGATTTTGCGCTGATATTGGCCAGATTTTTTTCCCGACTGGTTTTAAAACTTTATAATTCCTGAAGCCCCGTAAAAAATTGCTTACAATTTATTTTTTTTTATTATAGAAAGGTTGAGATACTGCTAGTCCAGTTTCGAAATATGTATTGTAGGCGCGATTGTTGAGGCCAATAATGTCAATATCATCGGCGCAGGAAGTAGCTCTACACTCTTATAGAAGATTGTATCTTCCCTATTCAGCTCTGCAGCTCTTGTTATTTTCTCCAGCAGAAAAAGAAAGAATTCACACGTTAAGGATGATTCCCTGTCTGAAACCAACAATGGAACATCTTTCCGATACGGGTTTGGAATTCACCATTCAGCAGGCTGGAGAAGCGTTCCCTCCATAATTTCAATATGCTCTGGGTTTCGGTGGCTAGATCATCTCTTTGTGTCCTACAGGAGTCAGCTCCGGTCTTGAAACCTTCTGTAAGTCGCCGTATCTTCACAAAGAAACTTCGAGCATTACCCTTATCAGCCAGCTTCTTAAGGTCGACTAGTTTTTTTATATTGGTGTATTGGGTCTAATCTCAGTCATAACTTGAGGAATGTTGGTTTTCAAGTTTAAGCGTTAATGGCTTATCCGCATTAACATGGTCTTTCATTTATCCCCATAGCGGAAAAATCGCTCGATCTCGGTGGCTGATGGACATTGCCAAGACGAGAGATTACCTGGTCAGCAAATTTCTCTCGCAATAAAGCCATTTTCGTAAATGTTGTGTGGCATTTGAGACCATCTTGTTGGAACCACATTTTGTATAAGTGGTGTTCTTCAATTACAAGGCAAAAAAATCATCTATCATACCGACCATAATACTCCGATGGGTTGACAGTCTCGCTGTTCAAAGAAGTAAATTCCAATCACACCTCCGAACCAAAGAGCTCACCTGAGAATAAAATCTTTTTTATGTAATAGCCTCTATTTAATCATTTTGCTTACTTACATATTTCCCGACTATGAAAAGTGTCTCGTCACTGATGAAGATTTTGTTCGTTAAATTGCCGTCTACTGCTTTTTGTTCAAGCACCCAATCGACTTATGTAACCCCTGCGGGTTAGGGACTCAAGAATTTATCCGTGGTAAGGCATGCCTGTCGTAAGAGGCGACTAAAATCCAATAGTTCCCGCGACAGTCGGGTCTTTATACCGAAACGACCCGGATTTTTATCCGGCCAAAGACTGTCACTCCCGCAATATTTCCCGAAAACCAATTCGGCGAATAATTTGCGGTTACAACAACAACAACAACATCAACATATGTACGAGGTTGTGAGTAGTCAGGTGAAGTAGAAAAGTCGTATCTCTTGAGAACGTCAAGAAATAGGCACATTCGGGTTCTCGACATCACTTTCATTTGCCATAGCAATATTTGAAGCGATATTTAAAAGATCTTGTTTCATAAATTATTAAATTTGGGCGATATTTAAAAGATCTAGTCTCATAAATTATTGACTTTTAACAAAACTTGTTTGGTTTGAAACCACGAAATAGATAACTGTAAACTTAATTTTTATAACAGCTATGAATATTTGAGGATTTTTAAGTTTGAATTGTTTGCTTTAGTGGTTACATCAATAATATTTTATTAATATATAATTAAAATTTTGTTTTAGTTTTTAGTTTTGCATATTTTAATTATTTATTTAGATTTGTTTGCAATGTTTTTTTTTTGCTTTGTTTCGGCTTTGGTAAAAGCAAGTAATAAACATTGACTAATCCTGTTTCAAAAATTTTAGACCTTTCATGAACGGAGATTAATTTGATTCATATATAAAATCACACACTTGAAGGAGGTGAACATAACTTCCACTTTTCACTTCTCTCCGCTCTAGTATATTTTGTTTCAATGTTCATGAAAGGTCAAATCTACAAAAAATCGAGTTCTATTTTGCTTTTTTTACACTATCTGTTAATTTTATGAATGTTTGATTGGCATTTAGAATTGATTAGTTTATACCGTTAATGGAGGAAAAAATTTTCGTTTTAACTAAATTACGAAAATAACTTCCCTTTATAGGCTTTCTACCGCAATATCCTGGCGCAAGTTCCTATTGGTCCGATTACTGCAATTACTGTTGAAAACGCAAAAAGCAATATTACTCCTTGACTTGTTCAAAAAACTATCTGTACATCTTTTATATTGGCAATTTTTTCGCATGAATTTTTGATTATAAATTTCAAAAACTCGTTTTTTTCAAAAAAAAAAATTAAATATTTTAAATTGCTTTATTAATTGACAGGTCTACCGATACCCAATAACAATAATACACGAACAATAAACAATCAGCATAACAATAGCCACAACAACAACAATGCACTAAGCTCAACACCCAGCGAGGATCGATATGCAGCACTCAAGGATCTAGACGAGCAATTGCGTGAGAGTAAAGCAGCGGCGGCCACAGTTGTTAATAGTGCGTATACTGTGATGGACGCTTTCGGCAATAGTAAGTACTACATACGTACATACATACAAACATAATATTGTTTATTTGATACAAAAAACTTTTAATTTTTTTCTAGCTGTCCTAAGCAATGGCGTAAATCCTTTCAAGCATCAACAGGCAAATCCCTTCCAAGCTGCCACACACGGTACATCGCCCACAGCCACACAAAACTATTTTGGTCAAATGACAGTGATATCTAACGGTAATGGCCAACCGTCACAGCAAGCCACAAATGCCGCACAACAGTTTTACAATAATTACAGCAACGGTTTTGGTAATGCGGCAACAACAACAACAACGAACACTGCACCTGCTATGTTTCCACACACTGCAATGTCAGCTGGACCCAGCGGCTGTGGCTTCGGTCTGGGTGCACTGCAGCCGACGGTAATTACAGCAACTGGCGCCGGCGGTGGCACAGCATTCAATAATCCCTTTGGTGTACGTAGAGAAATGACATGTTCTTCATATATCTATATATATATATATATATATATATATATATATATATTGTGTATTTCTTATAATATAATCTTATCTTTTTATTTACATATAGGCAAGCGGCGGCATGAATACCAATAATCCCTTCTTATGAGATATTTGCGGCAGCCGTTATGAGTCGGAGCTGAAGCGCAACTATAAGACGCATCCTTACTAAACGTATATATATATATATGTATATGTATGTATATATGTATAAAGAAAAATTTCATATATGTAAATATATAAAAAAGAATCGGAGGATTTATGGGCGCAGTGTATCTGGTCTGTGCAAATTTATTAATTAAAAAGAAGATTTCCGGATATTATGACAATTAAAAAATAGTGAATGAATCTTGATAATGTTCATTAAACCAAATTAATTGTTTCTAATTGAATTTAATTGTATATGTGTATATATAAAATGTCTATATATACATATACTATATATTTACGAAAAAAAATGCATAACGACAATTTCTATGACAACCAACCAAAATGAACTAGAAATAATTTGCCTGAATTGCTCAACATAGATTTTCAGAGAAGCCAACAAAAACAAGAAGAACTTAAGCAAGCAGAAATGTTGAAATATTACAAGTATATATATTAAACTGGAGTTAGCAGTATATAGTCCATTTTATGCAAAATCAAAGATTTAGTAGATTTAAAGCTCTTTTACATTTACATTTACATTTGCTTATGTATGAATAAACTACTAACTTAATAAGCAAAAATTCATCTATACATACATACATACTTATAATAATTAATGTGAGAACAGACATACGGCGGCTACCTAGCAAAGCGTTGAAGTCCAAGCATTTGTTTCCCTTTAGTTTTGAATAGATAAATTTCGAAATAAACAAAAATTTCTTGCTGGCTAGCAAAAGAACAAATACACTTTATTAATGACATACATATGTATGTTTGTATGTATGAGAATGGAACTGCTCTTGTAGCTGAATAGAACAAAATGAAACATGAAATGCTTTAATTATTAAATTTACCAAAATAAACTACATAATAAACTAAATAAAGGTTTAACAATAACCAAGAAGCGTATATATTTCAACTATGGAAAATTGAACGAAAATCAAAAAAAAAAAATAAAAACAAATATTTAATAATAAATAAATTTAAACATTAATTAAATAAATATTATATAAATCAAATATTTTGATTATTGTCAAAATTAGCCAACTAGATAGCCACAGCATGTGCATAGCAAGTATTGCAGAAATCTCATGAAATGAAGAGGGGCGAGGCGGTTTCATAAGTGTATATTAAAAAATGGTGTCAAACTTACATGCATATTTAACACACTCGTACATATGTGTATGTATAATAACGCTTTATTAAAAAACGATTATTTTAAGCATAGTTAGCTTTGTTGCATACAAAGTATTTATGTATGTGGCTTTGTATAATTTGACAAATTGTTGATAACGAAAATATAATAAATAATTTGAAAAGAGAGTTTATCGAAATTTATTGAAGTTAACTATTGTGTAAAATTAGTTTTAAAACAGCAAAAAACTGTAACGCCTTCAAAATGAACATAAAGCTCTATTATATTAATACGTTTCTTTTATTTATTTGCAACATAAATAATTAGATATAAACTATTGTATGTATATGCGTGTGTATGTTAACTTACGAAATGAGCTAATCTAATACTCGAAATCCAATTTTTATCCTTGATTTTATCTCCGTTCTACGCATAATGCTACAATATACATATATAAACCCCTAATATATGTTTCTTTTGTAAAATAAATTCATTATGTGTAGGTACTTACACGTATGTATGTACGCATGTTTCTCCCTTTCTTAATTTTTAATTATAGTTAATATTTCAGTAATGCAATATTTTTTTTATAATAAATATTTTAGCTTTTGTTAACACTAAATTTTAGTTTTATATTTGTAACGAAATATATATACACATACATACATTGTATTTAATCAAAACAAAAATCATTGTGTCTTTTATTTGATTGTAAATATAATGAAAGCCTTAGGTAGGCCTTATCTAAATGTAAAGGGTGTTTAGTTAGGTCATTGATTTTCAATGAGGCAATACTTTTTTCGGAATTGATCTCCTTGACAGCTGTTACTTGATTTATACACAGTTTGGCTAGCCATTCCATAATTAATAGGCTTATTCCGCCAAATTTATTATGGTACGAACATATGTGGTTCGGTTCGAGAGGCACATCACACGCTTTATCAAATATTTCGTCGTCATAATCGCCTCTGAGAGGATCGGCTTCATACCACATTTAATTTACTGGACTGGGTAGATGCCTGTTCTCAGTGACGCCGTACAATGCGCACCGAATATGCTATTGGTGCTGTGCAATAGAGTATCGAAGAAGATCCGAATGAATCCATACGCCATCGCGTGCAACAATTGTAGTTCTGCTCATTCACTTTATGGAAGATTTTGCGAAAGGATCTTGGTTTGTGGGTTTACAAAATCCACCTCGTGCATTGAAGCCGAACGACCACCAAGCACATGAATGAACACAATGGATCTAAAATTAATAACTTTTCTGTGCATAAAATGGAGGACGATGATATCGACGACCTTTTGATCGATGGTTCTTTTGATATTGCTTAGTGTCAGTTTGCATGGTCACATAAGTTTTGCGGGGATATCAAGAACAGACCTATTTGTAGAGACACAACTTCTTTTCGTGCCGTTGATGGCAGCTTTATAATGGACAAAGGGGTGGGGAGTTCGGTGCTATTCGAACGGGTATTTTCCAGAATTTACCACATGATGGATATGTGGTCAATGTTAGATTTGATGGATCTGAAGCCTCACGGATAATGCTCAATTAGACCTTGTATGCGAGAGAGTTAATCCACCATAAATAAATGCAGATTGTGCGATCACCTTTTTTTATGCATTCAAATGTGTTCCAATCGTCGGGCATGCTTTTGTTCGAACACATTCTGAAATACTGCAGCACGCACCTAGTCTCGTTCTTCTCCAGTATGATTGGTTACCTCCGCAAGTAAGTCTTCAGCTCTCACCACTTTCTGATTCTTTAAACTAATAATCGTGACTCGAATTTGATCATAATCGGGTGTGTCTGTGCTATTATTCTCAATTGGCGTTTCGTATTCGTCAATAAACTCAAAGTACTCTGAGCATTAGTCACGGAAATACCTTACTTGTTTTTTAGAAAAAAAAAGCTTCAGTCTTGATACCGTCTGAAAGATGGCTCTTTCCTTTGTTGACTATCTCTTCAAGCTCGCTACTCAAGCTCTCTAAGCGCATTATTATCGTTAAATATTTTAAACTATAGGGTTGCCCATTTCGTGTTTTCTAAAGTAGGACTTAACTGCCAAACCAAACGACCGCACAACGCTTTAAAATAATGAAAATGTACTACAAAAATGTTGATTGACACGGTTTTTTAAAGAAATTTGAAGATACTGCATCGGCTATAAATATTGTAAGGCCTGTACATCATCGCAGTGCACGGCGATTTTTCGAACAAAATTTTCTTAAGCGAATGATATGTAAAAAACATTTGGGGCTTCGAAAATCGAGGATTAAGGATAGGCCATTACACACAAAAAAATTTGGTCCGGAGCTGTAATTGAACTTTTAAGAAAACGACAGCAGCAAGACTGTCACTATATCTTCGGAGCGTAATGGTCGGTATGATAACCAATTTTTTTGAACTGCAATTGAAGAGCACGTCTTGGACAATATGTGGTTTCAACAAGATGGTCTCACATGCCACACAACATGTACGAATATGGCTTTATTGCGAGAGAAACTTTCTAGCCGGGTATTCTCTCGACTTGACGATGGATTACGTGACAGGCCATATTTATGCGGATACTCTTGAGCACTTAAAGCCATATTCCCATAAAAAACGTGATTTTTTTCAAACAAATTTTATTTATTTAAAAAATTATAAGCATTTATAAATCAACGTTTTTGTAAACAAGTTGACGTATAAAAATATTAATTGAAAAATAAAAATATTTTTTTTTTTTGAATAGCGGCTCTTGAAATTGTTGCTGAAACACGTCCCTTGTGTTGGTGAGTGACACGATAACTGTAAAACGAATCATCTGAAAGCAAAAATCAAAACGGTTTCTTATTGGCTGTGGCGATTAAAGTTTTTGTTCGTGAGGATTTACCTCTTCTATACTTACTTCTTGATCTTGCGCACCTTCGGGAGTAATTCCATATTATTTCTTATTATAGAAAGTACTCTTTTCCAGCAATCTAATGGGAAAAATTTCGATTATTTTTTCTTGAGGAACCTGGGCACCTACTACGTTCGAATTCGAGTAAATGCTACTACATTATTCTATAATAGCATTTCATTCGAATGCTGCCAAGGCGAATTTACAGAAGGTGAAGTTGCTTGTTCTTCCTTTCATTCCAAAAAATTACACAAACAAAATATATGAGAAATAGGCTTTGGCATTTCGAACGTTCTTTTACACAAACAAAATAAATATGAACGATTTTCGTTGTTGACTTTTTGAAACTACACGTAGGATTACATAAACAAATTACATAGGATTTTTGTTTTTGTATTCTTACTACCGTGTGTGAATTTGCTTTGAATGCTACCAAATTCACGATACTACCCAACGATACAACAAGAAACTAGCATTCGGAACTGTTGGAAATTTGTAAATTCATAACGATATATTTTGCTTTTTATTAAAAATTTTTTTTAGAGGAAATAAATCAAAGAACGCACATACCAAAATTAGGCAATTGCATCTCGCTTTTCATTTGCTGTCATTTTAAACATAATTTGTTTTGGACAAAGAACTTTCTCTACTAATCTACAAACTTCCCATAAATATTTCAACACCGTTGGCTGTGCAAATCCCAATTGAAAATCTTGCCCAACCTATTTCCTGTGGTTACCAGCTTTAGCTAAGAATTTCAAAGCAATTGCCAGTCTTAAGATTGGGGGTATTGCGACACAACGATGAGGTGTTTTTAATTTCGGTTCAATACATATATAAGAGCGCGAGACTGCATAATAGTCAATTTTAACACAAAATGTCTGACTGATTCCTTAAATGTCTTTGCGAAATTTTAACTTTGTTTTCGTCGTTAAACCACAATTCCGCCGAATCCATATTAAAATTGCCTATGTACATATATATAATTACCGCTATGTAACCGCTTAAGCGATTTTCGGACGAGCTCTCTCTCCAATTTGTGGTTTGGCGTTTTGATGTTTTTTTTATCAGTTCAAATCGCATCTTGCTTTCGAATCGCAATACGTAATAGTGGCCCGGCCTTAAAAACGAACATTACTCAAGTTATGACTGAGATACCGTCTAATATGAGCCAAAAAGTGGTTGGAAATTGCCTCAAAGGATCGAAGTTTGCAAAAATTTGCGATTCTGTCATTTGACTGATGTAGTGCCTCACATACGAGTATAATGCCAAGGTTCGAGCTTTAAAATGGAGAAGGAACTATATGAAAAAAATTATGCGAAATGCATTTTAGTTACCTTTATTTTCAAACGGCAAAATGAATAACGCTGGACTAATAATTTGTTGCTACCTTTCAGCATTAATTTCAGAATGTAAGAGAAAAACGAATATGTATTTTTCAAATTATTATTTCCATATGTATTTGCAGTTTTATTTTATTCATACTTCCATTGCGGTTTAAATTCTAGTTTGTTCATTTATTTCTCGTTTTTTTTTTTACTTTTCTTTTCTTTTAATATTTTAGGAGCTTTTCTGCGCTTCACACGGCTCGTTTTCATATTTATGTGTGTATGTGCTTGTTGCACAAAATTTTCTACATATGGTTTTATAGTTGTTTTTTTTTTTTTTTGTATTTGTATTTGCCATTCATTATTCATTAGTAAAAAATTGCCCATATTAAATAAGTAGAAAAAAGATACAATTACACATTCGGATTACTGCCTGATTTAATTGCAATAATTTTATTTATTTTTTTTTTTATTAAATATTTTACTTTATTGTATTACTTTATTCTTGCTTCATTTATTATATAATCACTTAGTTTTATATTCGTTTACTTAAATTGGGTTTTCCTTTGTTTTTAGCTTTAAGTATAAATAATAAACTTTTTTACAATACTTACATAAAAGTCTAAAACAAGAATTTGTAATATTTAGAGAAAGCAATAGCTAAGCGTGAATATGAAAGGTTCATCAGCTACAGCAGAGTGTGAATTGTGAACATTTTATAAACGACTGTTTGTGTATGTACAATACATAGTACTTACGTATGTATTTACATATATGTATGTAGGTATATATTTAATATGCTTCACTAACAGCGTCCTTTATTCTTTTAATTCAACTAGCTTTTATTTTATGAAAAATAGATATGCTTAAGAAATGGAAGTGTAATGCATTCGGCAATTAAGAGTTGGTTTAAAATTAATTTACTCATTTATGGAGTTTGTTAAACAAATAGTTAAATAAAATATTTCAATACAAAAATAATTAAACAAATTGTACAATTTCATTAAATTTAAAAAATGGAACCTATAAATACAAAAAAGATTAAAATATTTAGTTTTTTTTTTTACAATTAAAAATTAGTTTATATACTATGTATGTATGCATGTAGGTGTATAACAAATAATGACTATATATTTTCTACATGGCGTTATTATTCAATGTATGCTAAGTAAAAACAATTAGCTTTGATATTATATAATTTCAGAAATAAGTGTGTTATTTAGAAATCAGAAAAAAAAATCATAGTTTTGAAAATATCATTTTTTCAGATTTCTAAATAAAAATCTTGTTTCTGAATTCAATGTTGCCGAAAGTCTGCGGAACATTTCTTTATTTCTTTTTTTTTTTTTTTTTTTTTTGAAAGCATAAATTTTCCTAAGCTGCTCTTCCCGTGGTGTAATCAGCGAAGGTATGAAAAGAAATTTTGACAAAATTGGCAGTCTCATTGGAATAGTGGCGAATGGTTTTATAATAGTAGAAAAAAGTATTATGATTACTCCATTCATTTTTTAACATGGGCCTTCAGGCAAAGCTTGCTCTCTTGTAATTGTCTATCTCAACTGCAACAAATATAAGAAAAATTCTTTTCGATTTAATTTGAAGGAAATATTCCACCAAAGTCTGGTCCATTCTAATATTAAAAAAAAAAGCAATTCGTAATTGTGGAAATTCTGAAAAGGTTATACGCAGGTACACGTTTAACTGCTAAGTGGAGAGCTTGTCTTCACAGAAAAACTCCATAATTCAGATATATTTATGAAGAAGCGTGTATATGTACTTCAAAAAATTAAATGTAATACCTTCAAATATCCGTTTCTTTATCCCGCACAATATTAACTACTTAAATTCTATATTAATTAAGAGCCTTTGTAAATATAAAAATATTATAAAGTGAGCTTTTAAGTAGCAACAATTTTCAATCATGTTATATATAAAAAAAAAGTAGTAAAAGTTTGATTGAATTTTAATCACGACCGGAATAAAACCGCCGCATAAAAGAGGTTAATTTTTTAATCAGACTTGGTAAAGAAATTCTATAAGGTAGTTACTCCAAAATTTTCGACACTAAATGTGTTTGCTCACAAATATTTTATCTGACAACTTATAAATTATATATTCAATTTGGAGATGTTTTAATAATTGTTTTTGTATTGTAAACGTAGGCATTACACAGAGGACTAAGCGATATATTGGTTTCAATTTGTTGCTTTTTATTATAAGTAGATTATAAATAGAGCAAAGATAAAGGTGAAACAATTTCCAACACTCTCAGATACAAATAAATCAATATTCTGCCTGCTTACAAAGTTTCTTTGAAACTGGTACGAATAATTTGCTTTTAATAGACAGGCAGATGCCACTCAGCTCCAATATCTATTCCTTCATACAACTTACAAAAGCTGTAATACAACGTTCGTGAAAGTCATTTACTCTATAAACTCCCTATACACGATTTTTAAAAGCATCTTTTAATACTTAATCGCTTTTGATAAATATTAAAATTTTCCAAATATTTAAATTTTTTTTATTTTTTATCTAAAATTGGTAGCTTTGTTCTTTAAAGAGAAGAAAAGTAGCATAACAATGACCAAAAACATTTAATGCCAGAGTTAGATACGTTATGAAGTTAACTGCGAAGAGAAAATACGTTTCAATTCTTCTTGCCATGTGAAGCCATTTGATTTGTCAAATTAATTGCCAACTTAGCATAACAATAATAATTTCACCATGTCTATACTATTGTGAACACATTCGAAAAAAAAAAAATCAAACAAATCAAAAACTATAAACTTAACTCTAAATTAAACACATTTTCTTTTCTAAATAAAGTAATTTTTTTTTAATAAAACTCCTCGTACTCTCACAAATCGCAGACTCTACTGAAGGAAGCCAAAAGCCGTCGTGTTCTGTCTACTAATTAAACTTACAATAATAATAATTTATTTTAATATTAAAAATTTAAATTTTTAAGAATTAAACTATATATATATATATATGCATTTATGTATGTATATTCGCAAGTGTGACTTTTAGAATATTCTCTTTTTATTCATATTACCTACATACTCATATATAGTAGTATATATTTATGTAAATATATATTTATATTGATAATTTATTATTACATTTAATATAATATAAACGGAAGCAGCTGGGCTGGTTCGAAAGTATTTTACCGTTGGTAAAAAGGTAGAAGCGGGCTGGCATAGGGTGCTCCTCCAAGGCTTAGTGTTAAATACATACATATGTAGTTGACTACAGAGCTCTGAGCAGCTAGTTGCATGGAGACCACGCATGTTATTTACGCATACTGAACAGAGTAGAGCACGTATACATACATAGTTTTAGTTTGTATTATTATATATAATTGTTTATTATACGGCGCTATTTAAAATGTGTCTTAATTATTGTTGCTTTTTTTTATTAATTTTATTTTATTTTTTTTTTAATTTTTATTTTTATTTCTTTCATCACCATTTCATGTTGTTTTTGAATAAATTTTTAAATAGTTATGAAAATGCATACATATATTTAATTTAATTATGCATAGTATAGTACAATAATGTAATATATTGTATATATGTATGTATATAAACTTTTTTATATGCGTTGCTAGTTCTAATTGAAGTGAAAAAATTTATGTACGTGTGAATGTAGTGTTGGTTTGGTGTGTTGCAAAAGAAAAATTTGTAATTGTAAAGCGGCTGAAATCTTATAAACTAATCGCCTTTCACATCTCTTTTTTCTTATTAGCGTATTTTCTGTTTACTTACCAACTTAATCACAAACCCTTTGAAATAGTTTTTCTTTGCATTCTACTACACACCTTTTATTATCTGATTAATGACTTTCGTTATTCATTTTGGATGGGTTATGGTGTATGCTGTCTTTTCTAGTTAAGTTATACATATGGTATGAATATTTGTGACGTCACTTCTATGCCATTACAGAGCTTTACTTAAAAAAGAATTTTATTATTTTATGAGTACCCCCAATTTTTCTATGCATGTACACACTAATTTTTTGAGAATATTGTGGAAAAGCATTATTAAATTTCGAACACTAAAAAGTTCTACAATTTATTTAAGCTACAAACTTGATAAAAAACACTAAATTTCACATAAGAAATGTATTAAATATTTTTGTTAGCAAAGCAATATAGACTTCAATTATTTTTACAATGAAGCACTATATATTATTTAAAAAAAATTTATAAAAGCACTCAACTGAACACACTAAAAGTGCTAATGAGACAGAATTGAGTTTGAAGCTTTAATATATTTTGTATATTTTTGGGGGAAAAATTGCATTTGAAACGTATAATGTAATGCCAACAATATTCAAAGTCAGTTGGTAAAAGAAAAAGCATACGAAGTATACTGACATTTTTCTAAACACTTAAATTTTTGTATGCAAATTCTGCTATAAAACTTTGAAAAAATTGTAGACTCACCAGAAATAGTAGCAAAGTAGACTTGTCTATTTTTCTAAGCACGTTAAGTGTTTTATATCATATAAAAAAAATATTTTCTTACAACGAGTTATTGATTGGCCCGAGTAGTCGCCAAACATATTAGATAGCCGCTGTTACTTGTACACAGTCCAATTAATTTTCGCGCCTAAGATCGCTACAAAATAAATAGCACTAATAAGTCAGTTAAGTTAAACATTTGTTGTACTCATACTTTACATTTGTCTAAATAAATTAATTTCATTACATAAAGAAAACATATTGACAACTACATATTTGTCATTACTACGTTGGTAAAAAAAATCTATTCGAAGCTTATAAATAATCGCGATTTTTCAATGTCTTATAAAAAATATCTAAAAATGTGTACGAAAATCAAAACAATGAGATTTCAGTGCGCATACGTTTGCATTTCGCACCGCTGCTCCAGCACACTTACATACGCGTACATATATCTAATTGCATATATGAATATGTGTTTTTGTATGTATGTATGTATGTATGTATATTGTCGTAAAATGCTGGCAACTAGAAAATTGTTAGCAACTTATATCGAATTAACCCGCTTTTTTCCGTGGTGTTTGCCTTCTTCAAAACTGCCTTTCAAAGAGTTGAAGAAGCACAAATAATCTAAAATAAAAGTCATATTAATTAATAAAAAATTAATTAATTAATTACATAAGTATGTACGTATGTATATATATGAATATAGTACTAATGAAAGTGGCTTATTTGTTATGCGCTATACTTTTCTATATATATATGTATATTTAATATTTATTTATCCATTAAGTGATTCATAAGTTTTATGCAATACATATACATATATAAATTGAATTTTTCAATATGCCTTTTTTTTTTTTGGTAGTCGCTTTCTGAGTTAATCGCTTTGCTGGTTTTAGTTTAAAATAGCAAATATGTATTTCGCATTAATTTGTGATAATAATTTGACGATATTCAACTGTTTTGACTTTCTAATTGTTATCATGTTTGCTTTAATAATTCTTATTTCGTTCAGCGCTTGCGCAATAGCTTTTCATATTTGTTTTTATACATACATATAATCGTTATTAATAATATCGTATTTTGCATTACATTTATGTATATCAATAAAATTAAATAATAATATCGTAATTTGTGTATGATACCGCCAAAATAGTATTAGTAAGTAATAGCAGGATTAGCAACAGCAGTAAACTTCTCTCATTTTTTTTCTTTTTTGTGGCTAGTATCAATGTTTTATATTCCTTTGAGATGTGTGCATGTATGTATGTATGATGTTGCTTGTAATTTTTCCTTCCAGATGAAATGAGTAGGCATAACGAGGTCTACGATGCCGCACTGCTGCCGCAAATGTAGTTTGTTTACGTGCCATTGGCCTTTGGTAACGGTCGTACCAAATATAATTTCTCTCCTTGCTTATTCGTATAAATTGGTGCTCTTTGGTAATGATCTACTAATTGATCTAGTGTGTGAAATTTACGTTGGCCAATGCAATACATGTTGTTCTCAACGTGTACACGGAAGTGCTTATTGCGGCCGGGCGCTTTGAGAGAAACCGAATAATCACCCATCTGAAAAGAAGAAATATGAACTGTCATTAATTACTTCTTCGTAGTTTTTAATATTATCTAATAAAACTTTAAGGTTCAATTGTTTTAATAATTCAGCCTGCATTCCAGTTTTAATATGCCAATAATAAGTCATCTTTAAAGACTTGGTATTATATTGGTATAGTAAAAAGGAATTCATTATTTAGTGAGAACGATCTGATTTATATTCTGTTTGATAACTTATTGCCATTTTAAAGATAATCTTATTGGTACCCTGGTTCCTATTGACAAAAAACTGAGACAGTCGATTTTCACAAACCATGGACAGGAACACATGGTAATCCCTTGGTTCCAGGTCCGGACTATAAGGTGGACGCGTAAGATCCCCTCAAACAAGCTTCCCAGAGCTTCTGGCGAGTCACTATCGACGTGTGTGGCCTGGCGTTGCCAATACAGTTCCGAGTCAACAGTTTTGCCGAATGGAAGCATATCATAGTTGCTAATTCCCTGCCAATCCCACCAAACACACAGGAAAACCTTCGTGGCCGTCAATCCTGGGTTGAGGCTGTCGTAAGTGATCCACTTTCCATCGCCAGTCACCAGCCGCTTCAGAAACGGGTCGGTTTTTTTTGCGATTCAGCGATTCGCAGATGGAAATTCGGCCCATGAGGTTTTTTGCTCAAGCTCATGTGGCACCCATACATCGAGTTTCTTATCATATCCAACCTTATTCAACTGTTTTTTATCGACATTGCGCATGATTATCTATTTCGGTACCATAAATATAATTCACATTTTCAGCCATCTGGCTTGCGTTTTCTAATTTATCGAATAAAAACTGTAGAACATAGCGGATTTGGGACTGTCCATCTTTGGGTCACGTTCAAATAAAACTGGATCAACCAATCACAAAGCTGTTAAACCAGATTTTTTAATACGAAATGTCATCTGTCTAACGCCATCTAGCGGAACCTGATCGAACTTGTGAGACAAAGCGAGATACAGATAAATAACGTCATCTATTGGAAAAATAATGTTAACTGTTGTAATTGTCGTTGCGGTTCACTAATCCCGCTTAGACGCAGGCTAGATCAGCCGAAATCATCGAGTTTATCTAACAACTAAAGTTTGGGTTAAGAGGTGACTGAAATTGTTAAGCTCTTGCGACCGTTACGTCTTTTTGAACGGAGCGACCGGGATTTTTAACTGGCCCAGGACTGAAAGGAAAATTTTGTGAGCCCTGTGGACAAGATAAGTTAAGTTCATTTCATAGCTATTAAAAATTTACTCAGCAAACTAGTTAATTCTAAAAGTAATTGAAACAGGCTTTTAGGGAGAAATGATGTGATGTAATAAATTATGAAATTTGAGAAATACTTGTTAGGAAGAACACGCCATGAGTGCGCCACAAGCACTGAAAATAACTTAAATACTCCACCATGGCGCTCAGCTATATAGTCGCTAAAAAATCAATGGGACCTAACGGTTGAACAATGGGACAAGGAGGAGGAAGAGTTTTTCGAGCACTACCTTTGTCACTGTACAGGCCGGAGTATTATACGATATAAATAGCTAAGGCATAATTCCTTTGACTGCCTGTCTGATATGGTTAAAGGCTTGTATAGGCAGTATCACATAAGGCATTCGAAGAGTCAATATCTCAACAAAGGTAAACAAAAGGACGATGCACTTACATACATCCCTGAATATTAAATGTACTAAAATTCTAATATTAAAAATTACGTTGTTCTCGGCTTATATTATTTGAAGAGGATTCTGTTAAACTAAACTTACTTCCAATTTTTAATTTAAACTAATATCTATTTACACTACTTACATTAGTCTCACTGTCTCTTATAAGAAAATCACCATCATGTCCATGTTGATTCAACACGGTATCGCATTGACTGCGTGTGATGGCGCCATAGTACCAAGATTTCCCAGCCAAATTGGGCCGTTCCATTGGTGCCATAGGTGGTGACGATTGCGTTGATATACCGTCATTGCGTCGATCGATTGAATCACCGCCACTGCTACCGCCGCCGCCGCCGCCACCACCACCACCACCACCACCATTGCCATTGCCACCGCCATTATTGCGAAACGGTGTAGCTAAATAATCATTTAACTCTTGAAGATAGTTTCGTGGAACTAAACCGACTTGACCTTGATTATTTCTTGCTTTATACCAATCTGGATCAGAAACAGGACGATCAACAATTTCGAGACGATCGCCCTTCTCAAATGACAACTCTTGGTCGTTATTCGATGAGAAACTATATAGCGCAACCTGAAGTAGAAAAAAAAAATATTTATGGTAAATATTTATATAGATGAGTATGTTTAATTTGGATTAAAATATATATATATAAATATTTACCACAATATCAAGTACATTTTCCGCCATGGCATATGTGTGTATTTCACCATCATTATCACAATCTTCAGTTGTGTAATTGCTCGGAAACCAACCGACTGCATTGCCACTCTGGCCACGCCACCAACCATCATTGGATTTCTCGAGTATTAGAATACGTGTGCCTTTGCTCAGCGATAACTCGTCTGGCTGTTGGGCTTGATAATTATATTTAACGATCGCAGTGCCAATAGCCTCGGCTGGATCGGGTGGCAAACGTCGTGACATTGTTGGACTTTCAATTTGTCTTGAGGGTGAACAATTTGGTAATGTTTTCGAGCCCGAGCCTTTTTTCACTTTTTTCTTGATGCTGAAAGATACATATATAAAAACGAAATTCATGTTAATGATGGAGAAATATGGTATAGTGGGAATTTATAAAAGGTAAGTAAGTAAATACTATATAACATTATAAAACACGCTATTGGTTATTGAATGCAATTAAGGGGTTGATTTAGTATGCTTCGTATTGTGGAACATTTTCTAAAGAACGATTTCTATACGTTGGAGTAGTGAAATGTATATATGTATATCTTTATGCAACAGGTGAGGTTAGGTTAGGTTAGGTTATACTGGCTGGCTGCTACGCCCTAGAAAGATGAGTTGGTCCTTTGTGCTCTCATTAACAGGTTAGTTTACTGAATTTTTAATGAGGTTAGGATAAGGTAAATTATATATGAATGCATGAATATATTGTATTTTGTGGGAAGTTATTAACTAGGTTTTTAATACATATGTATACAATACATTTAAATAAAAATAATAAATTTAATAAATAGATGTTCTTGGTTGATTTCAAAGTTAGCACCTTTTTAAAAACTTTTCTAGGTGCGGCTACATTTCGTTTTAAAAAATCGTGTTTTCTATACGTGTGGTCTTTGAGAAGGAATAAGACGAATAAGACTCCACAAGCTCACGACTCGAGTTAACGCGCTCACCAAAAGTTTGCTTCAATAAATTGATCGTTTCGTTGGCTATATGTCATATAGCGTCGCCTTGTTGAAACCGAAGGTCGTCCACAGCAATAGCATACAACTCAGGCATCAAAAATTCATTAATTTCGGATCTGTAGCCTTCTCCATTGGCTTTATTTTCTGAAGAAATATGGACCAATGTTTCCCTCTGCCCATTGAGCACGCTAAACATTGACTTTTTGAAGATGTAACGGCGTCTCAACAATAGCTTTTGGATTCCTGATCATCACTACAAATGCTAAAATTTTTGTTTATTAACCTACTTATTCAACCAAAAGTTAGCTTCACGCTTAACAATATTTTCTTGTGAAAATTGCGATTGGTGATCATCTCGTTTTAGGTCCATTCACCAAAATTGCGACGCGTGTGATAGTCTTTCAGCTACAACTCTAACAAGAGTTTTATTTTGAAAGCTTGTAAACTAAGATCCTTACGCAAAATCTTCCGTAAAGTGGATACGTAGAGCCCTGCGCTCGTTGTTGCGCTCGAAAGCAAACGTAGCCATTCGGGCCTTCTTCGATACTCTGATTTACAGCAGTAGAAGCATCTTCGGTGAGCACAGTACGCCGTCACTGAGAATAAATATTATCGAATATGCTGGGAGATTATGTCAATAGAGAAGCCTCGCGCGACTCGAATCATTATTTTGGTAATAGATTTGCACGATTTACAAACAATGTTCCGGAGTAAGTCTGTTGAAATCAAACCGAACTGAGTGTAAATCATTGGAAACTACACGTCTAAAAAACACCCTTTATATACATATATATATGACTACATAAGCTCTTTGTTACAGGACATCTACAGGGGCTTTTAAATACCAAACGACAAGCCAAACAGTGCAATAATCGCACATTCTCAATATTTCATTATAAAATTTTTTCAGGGAAAGTTTAAAGTTGTTTTCGCTATGCAAGACAATACAAAAGGTTTGGTTAGGGACAACAATACTTGGAAAAAATAAATTTTGAACTTCATTCAAGTTTATGAATTTTCAAGCTACATGTAAATCAGTCTCCTTTCTTTAACATACACATTAAGCCTCAATTTTCACAAGCAACAATTTCGTTCATTAGAGTGGAGCCAATCGAAAACTAAACTTCAAAATTTTCAAGTTCAAACCAAAATAACCAATTCCAAAGTGTGTTTAGTGTTATATATTGCAACCAATTCACTAGCAAACTACAGCAACAATAAGTAAAATTGAGTAAGGCAGTGTAAATACCAAATTAATGTTTACTCAAAGCCAAAAAGTTACAAATATATAATATAAATTTTAACAAGTTTCGCATTCATAAAAAGCAAAAAACAAACAAAAAAGGATATTAACTAAATACTGAAAAAAGTGTAGTGAGTTACATTACATATGATCTTTTCTCTTATTACTTATGTCTGTATGTACATACGAATATGTACGTAGGCGATAACTCACCTATCGAATAATGACGGTTTCTCCTTCTTTACATAATTGCTAGGTACATAACCCGATTGATTGCGATTATTTTGCACGCGCCACCAATGTTTCGAGTCGTCGAGCAGTAAATATCTTTCATTTTTTCTCAAATCTAATTCTTGCGCTCCTTGCGCAGCATAATCATATTTGGCTACAACGTAGCAAACGTCTTCTTGTGATTTGCCTGTGAAGTATTGAAAGGAAATTTTTTTTCAAAAATCATTTATATAAAAAAATCAATCAATTGAACAATGATTAAACCTAAAACGGCAACATTCATACATACAAGTGCCTATTTGATTTGAAAATTTCTCTTAAATCAGAAATCTCTAAAGTTTTCACAAATTCAGAAATGGTTTTCCGCTATAAAAACCGTTACAACTGATTTATTTGAAAATGTGTTCTAGATTTTCATTTTTAAAGACGTGCATTTGTATGTATGAATGCGCGCAGCTTACGGTTTACTTGCTCCATACACACCGTGCTTCATGTTGCCCGCCATTGATTGTTGACCGCAACTAGAGTTACCGCTGCTACTGCCGCCGCTATAATCGCCTGCGTAACCGACGATATTGGACGCTGCCGTCACTTGACCAAAGGTCACACTCTTGTGCTGTGCACTACAACTAGATGCGGTCGACAGGGTGCGTTGGTGTTGCTGCTGTTGGGACTGCGTACGTGGTGGTTGTTGTTGTTGATATGAGGCGGCCGCTGCTGGTATATGCCGATGCTGGTGTGCTGGCGAGCCCGGTGTTGTTGGATATGGTTGGATTGGATATTGTTGGTGGTAGTGGGCACCGATTAAGCCACCACCACTGCTATTGCCGATCAGTACGTGTGGCTGCTGATGTAACTGTTGATGATGATTATGATTGTGATGGTGTAATTGATGTTGATGTTGTTGTTGCTGCTGCTGCTGCTGTTGTTGTTGTTGTACTATCGGAACGTTATTCGCCGTTGAGGAATCGGGGATATTACGTGCAAATCGTTGGGGATATTCCAACATTCCAGTACTCCCCTAAGCGCGGAGGAGGCGTCGTCCTACGGGTACTCGCTAGTAGTTCAGATGTTATACGCAACGGCAGCAATTTGTCTCCTGAGTATAAGTGAAAATAGTTTCAATGTTGCCCTTGCTTAGTCTGACGCGTTGCCAATTGAGTTCGTTCATTGCTATAACAACGACGACATCATCAACAACGACAGCGGCGAATAGAGGCGATAGACGTTGATAATAAGCGTTTGACGTTATTTTTGTATACGAGTATGATGTGTGAGAGTCGATATTTATGTAGTGCATATGAGTTTGAGTTGATGTGAGCAATCAAGGAATGCAGCAAAAATAAAGAAAGAGAAAAAAGCAAATAAATTCAAAATTAAGCCATTCACGAGCAGTTAAGAAGCAAATTGTATATCAATAAATATATAGTAATAATAATAATAATAATAATAACATAAAAAAAAAACACTTTTTGCAACCAATTCAAACTGTATATGTACGTGTGATTTGCAATAAATGTAGCATGACTAAAATAAAAGGTGTATGAAAGTTGTCTGAATCTAGTACATACAAACATATATGAGTGATTTGAAAGCTTTATGAAGTTCTCACAGTAACAAATCTTCTGCTATTAAAAAGGGTTTTGAGCAGCTTAGAGTAATAAGTTTTGTTCAAACACGTTCTTTTCGCGTATTTGTAAATGTATTGGTATGACTTTGGGCTGTTTCTTTTTTTCTTTTTGACTCCTAAAACCTTGAATTAATTTTCTTAAAATAAATTAGCTTAAATTTCTACAAAATTATATCAAATCTATTTTCCTTAACGGAGGGTAAAAAAAAAACAAATCCTGAAGGACGCAGATTTAATTTTCAATAATTTGCCGCTGAGCTCGTATTCAATTTCTCGATGTAAATTCTCAGCCTATAACTATAGTAACGGTACTTTAATTCGTTGTTAGGAGTTTCAGATAATCCTGCGCTGATTGTCAAATTTTTCCAATTTATTTTGTGATTGTTGTAACCGTAAACGTTTTCCCCAAAGTGGTTTTAGTAAATATTACGAAAGTGACAATCCCTTGGATCTGGGTCGTTCCAGTTTTTCGTCGCCTCTTACAAAAGGCATGCATTACCGCGGACAAATTTTCCAACCCTCAACCCGCATGCGTGTGACCAATTTATATTTATATGGAGCTTAATTCACTCTGTAGTTCTCCCACATAAAAGCGTGCAAAGCGCTATCACCCAACACGAGATGGCAACGTAGTACCTTTAGAATGCAATTGAACTACCTAAAACAAAACTCCCCACCCTTCCTCTGTCACCCACCTCTATCATGCACCTCATGCTACTACGGATCAGAATATGTCGAAACGCGACATTCGTCAGATGGAAAACTAGTGCTGAGTGGTACTATTTCCAGGCAGAGTTAGATCCTTACAACTCCGGCGGACAACGCTTGTCAGCAGCTTAACGAACATACTAAAACTCAGTATCAATGTCAGTAATGGTTTCAAAAATAGTAGTCAGACTATTGTTATTTCTTACATTCGCGTGAAATGTCAGTAGCAACTGATCTTCCAAATATAGTTCTTCATTCTAAAACACATATATACGCAGATGATGTAGAGCTTTTTAATTCAATTCATTCTATAGAACGAACCTAACTTGGTTAATTAAGTAAGATGGTGTGATATGAACTGTATGTACTGAAACTTAAATAAGTGTATTGTAGGAGTATATGCTCTTCTCACAATGTTATAGGTTACTGACTTCATTTATTAAGGTGTCAGAATGGAACCTAGCCAATGGTCTACTATATTTGAATTTGGTCTTCTGATATTGAAGTAAATTCAGTAAATAAATCCAAATGTTTCAAAAAAAAATATATATATATAATTTCTTATCCTAATAAGGCGAAAAGCGTTTCAGCTTTCATTAAACGTTGAGCCAAGGAGTTCAATGACAAATGACTCTTTATTTAATTTATTACTCGAAATATGGCTGAGTAGTATGAAATCCACACTATATGGTAACAAATTGGAAACTATACAAAAGTAATTTCTATTATTCGCGGCTTATAGCAGCTGATGATTAAATGTTTAGCTTCAGATTAATAAGTGTAGCTGCGATCGGTGCGTGAATTATTTTGCACGCCAATTTACATTGCAGAGTTTGGTATATAAAACTAAAGAAACCAAGATGTCTAGTTCAGGGTTAGACCACAAAAAGATCAGTTTTAAATGGACATCAAGAAGGCTAAGAACTTCAAGCTGCCAGGCCTCATCTACATAATTATAGGCTTTGACTTAAATGATTGCCGAATCAACCAGCATTCTCAACTAATCGTAGAGACCCAAAGTTTGGAGGATCTATACCAAAAAAATAAATTTATTCTTAAAACGTTTGATTCACATGAAATTTGGTATATAGATAGCCTTTTGCCTAATTTACCACTGGGAACGCGTTTTTTTGGGAAGTCAGTGCCATGAGCAGTATTTCTGGAACAGACTTCGTTTACCAATTAATAAATGAAAAAATATCAACCAATCATCTGTCTAGCTCTAGTATGTGCGAGGGGTTTAACAAAAAGTCAGTCAGTTGGAGTCTTTCAACTTTTTTAATTCTAAAAATACGAGAGAGACGAGAAAACGCAAGATAGCTGAGAATAGGTCAGAAGAAATTCCGCAACCAATCCAAACAGAAACTCGCCATGTGGATCTCTTCGTGTTTCGGCATAATTTGCAGCCAATACAAAGATTGCACCGTCTTTAAAGACTCTTTACAAGTGGTTCCGAACATTTCAGACCGAACATTTTTCCATAGACGACGGGCTCCGAGAAGGTCGACCAAAATCTTCCGCTTATGACGTCACTGTAGCTCTGGTGAAGTCCGAAATTAAAGAAAACCCACGATTGATGCAAGAAATGATAGCTAATGAAGTCATCACGAAGAAATCTGCTCAATGGGTATCACGAATTTTAAATGAGGCCCAAAAAGAGGTCGAGTGCATTTTGCTCAATTTTTCCTAAACGAATTCGAAAATAGGAACTTTAGTAAACTTGTTACTGGTGAAGAATCTTGGTTCTATAAGTACGATCTAAACACCAAACCGCATTTCATGATATGGTGCCCAACAGGAGCAAACTCACCCGCGAAATTAAAGCAACAAAAATCAGCAGCTTTACTCTAACCGATCTAAAATCGTAGCTGCTATTCCATTGGAAAAGGGTCAGATGGTAACTGCAGTTATTGCTGTTTTTAATAAGCTTAAAATGCAAGATTTTGAAGACTGTTTTATAAGCTTAACAAATGCAATGAAACCAATGTAGATCAAGTAGAGAAGATAAAAAAGGATAAAGATTATGAATAAATACAAAAATATTTTTTATATATATACTTTCTTTTTGTGATCAACTTATAGAACTTTTGTTAATCCCCTCGTATGTACATATTACATTTCTATATGTATGCAGGTGTAATTTATTAAAACTGAATGGTATTTTTCTAATGTTTGTCATCTTTAACACTCAAACAGTTGCTGCAATCCATACATATTTACCCCTATCCGAATTTGTAATAATAACTACATTATGTTATGTTCTGCAGCAAGCCTATACTTATTAAACATAAGAAGCGAGTAATAGACAAAAATGGTAACCAAAAGAGATTGAAACTAATAATAACTGTTGGCTGTTCATAATTACATACATGTGGCTTACGTTATGCGCCAACTGTAGCTAGTTGTGAGCCATGACAAGATTAAAAATCCAAACAAACGAAAACAAGTGAAAGTTGTGTGTGATATCTTGGAGCAACAACCACAACTAAAATAAAACAACTAAAATTAAGTACTCATATCTACTTAGTGTGCTGACGACAGCAACAATTACAAAAGCAACAATTACCACAACGGTTGTTATGAAAATAACGATGGAAAACATAAAACACTTTTCTTGCCAAAAGGAAAATACCCTACGAATAACACATAACACAAGAGTAGCACCATCTTTGCCCACAAGAGAAGTTTTATAGCTTTCATACACAGCGCGTAATTTATTTTCAGACGCAAATTTGGGAATTTTTTTAAATTTAGATGATAAGCTTTACGGGATTTAAACAGCTTTGAAAAATCGATTTTTTCATTGCCTTATTGATTTCTACAGCATGTCCCTAAAAGGTCAGAGATACACCCGTGAACTTTAAATAGTTTTTCAAAGTCTGTTGCCAAAAGTTCCAAAACACTAGTCAACCGATTTTGATGAAACACATTTATTAAAAACAAAAAAATAGCAAAAATTTTACCAAAATTAAAAAAAAAATTCCAGTGTGTGGTATTAAACGCATCTTACTGCCGGCATCCTTTCCCCTCGGCAGGGGATGTCAAGCCCTCCGAGTGCATTTCTCATATTAAATAAGGGCGCCCCATAATCAAATTCATCATCAGTTCGGAGGCGGCTTTGTATTGGATGAGTGCATAAGTTCGTGCCCGATTCCGCTGGATGCCGTTCGTATCGTTTGAGAGTGGCGCTCGTGTAAGAAATATATACATACTGTAAATCAAGCATAAAATAACTTGATTTTGATTTGAGTTGCTTAGTGAAAAGACGCATGGAAGATGGACAACGAAAAAGATCTTATGCGTCATATTATGTTATATGTATTCCGCAAAGGAAAAACAGTAGGCGCTGCAACTAAAGATATTCGCGAAGTTTATTTGGACCGTGCTCGAGCACTTCGCACAGTAAAGAAATGGTTCGCGAAATTTCGTTCTGGAGATTTTAACCTCGAAGATCAACCTCGCAGTGGACGGCCTTCTGAGCTTGATGACGATGTTTTAAGTCAACAAATCAACTGCGTTTCGTCGGGGGCGGAACCATTTGGTGGGATATCCGAGGCGTGATCTATTTTGAGCTCTTGCCAGCTGGAGAAACGATCACTGCCAACAAGTATTGTCAGCAATTGGTCGAATTGAAGAAAGCAATTGATGAAAAACGTCCGATTTTGGCCAATCGCAAAGGAATTCTTTTCCATCATGACAACGCCAGGCCACACATTGCAAAACCGACCCTGGCCAAACTGAAGCAGTTGAATTGGGAAATC